TGATTTTAGACAAATTGTTGTGATGATTTAAAAACGATTGAAGTTTTGAATTTAGACCATTGAAGAAATGATTTGAGAAGATTGATTATCATTCGAATGAGTTTAGCCGATTGAAAAAATAAGTTTCGAAGATTTGCTCGCTTATTTTAGACTATTGTCGTGACGATTTTAGCAGATTAGCCTGATTTCAGACGATTGTTGTGATAATTTCAGACGGATGGCATGATGATTTTAGACGTCTTCTCAAATTATTGTCGGTAGAGGTTCCGCTGATAAGCGCTTTTTTTTGGGCTGCCTAGAGTTAAATACATCTTGCGAATTTTTATCATCCTTTGACGAGTATTTATCCGTTATTCATGAGTGAGTTATCGTTTTCGCTTTCTTCTATTGAACTGTCGAGAACCTTTTCAATTTGAATTTGCGTTTTACAGTTTGAAAAAAGTATCATAGTGTCTATTATAAGGCTTTATAAAAAATCATCGAATAAAACTCGTATAAGACGTGCCGCCCCTGCTTTTCATGGACGGTAGAAAATTCAATTGCCACATTATAACAAATTGTTTTAGCATTAATTCCCAACAAGATAATTCCTATAACATGAAAATTAATTTCTATAAATTACTTGAAGAATAGACTAAATATGTTCCCTGACGAGCGTCGCCTTGCCGCTGTCAGCGCCTCGTCTCTGCATCTGAATTAGAATTTATGATTGTTTAGACAATTAGAGGCATAGCAATATCGAGTTGAATGAAAAATTTGATTAAAATTAAATTAAATTAAATTTTAAATTAGTTTAATTTCATTTGATAATTTGTTCAAATATTTTTGAGCGTCAGACACGAAATATTATATGTACGTTTTTTTATAAACCAAAGTTTTTAACGATATTTTCTTTCTCAAAGTCGTTTTACAATAGTCCAAACTAGTTGTGTTTGCTTGGAAGTCATTTAACAATAGTTTCTGCTAATTGTGATTTCTGCGACTCCGATTACAGTTTATCTAATGAGGATCAAATTGGCCATAAAGGGGATTGTGGGATTGTGGACTTGGTATTACGAATCCCAAGTCACGCTGGGCTAGATTTTAGTTGTTATTTGTTGTGAAATTGCTGTTGTATCTACAAATTCTGTACGCTTTCCATATGTATTATATAATATAAATTGTGTGCAAAATTTCAGTTTTACTGAAATTATTATTATTAAATTATTATTTAATAATTCGGATATTATTAAATAATACAAAATTTACATTTTAGCTCCTCAGCTATTATTTCATCAGTTGTTTTATCATACTGGGTAAAAACATTCCAAACTTTCAAAGCACTTTACCTAAATTTTGAATCTGATGAATATATGAAGCAAGATAGTTAAGAGCGATCCATTGAATTAGATCATCCACACATATAGAGGTTCGAGATCCACGTTAGGCTTCACATTGTACTTAATGGTGAATATGTTTTCAGCAGGTATAAACTTAAATATAATTTCTAATTTTGGAAAATTCAACATTCACATCCAAATTGCGCTGAAAATAATATTTTTCATTTTGGGGGGCATGGCGGTAGCTCACTAATTTTTTTGATCAGAAATTCCTGTGAAGGTCATTCATGCTAAAGGCGACCTCATAAAAATATCAGCGGAAAATAAGTTTCGAAAGAGTTATTTTTCACTGCACTCTTGAGTACAGTTGTGATATTATGCTGTAGTATACAGCCTGTAGTTTAATGCTGTAGTGTACAGCTGTAGTTTAATGCTGCAGTGTACAACTGTAGTTTAATGCTGTAGTGTACAGCTGTAGTTTAATGCTGCAGAGTACAGCTGTAGTTTAATGCTGCAGTGTACAGCTGTAGTTTAATGTTGCAGTGTACAGCTGTAGTTACTGCAGTGTACAGCTGTAGTTTAATGCTGCAGTGTACAGCTGTAGTTTAATGCTGCAGTGTACAGTTGTTTCAAGCTGCCCAGTTCTTACCGCTGCTCTCAGGTCGTCATGGCAACGCCACTCTCTTCTCCTTAGCCTCTTTATACCTCGGGTCTGAATCTAGTTAGCTTCTAGGTTACGTGTGTAACTTATGTCTCAGCATAGACCTTTTAATCCTAGACTACTTCTAGACCCTTTTGATCCCAGCCTACTTGTACATCCTTTCAATCCTTGCTTACTTCTAGAAATTTTCAAGTCCCATCGTCTTCTAAACAATTTTAATTTTTTACACTCTTTTACATCTGTACTACAACCTATTTTTAGAAACTTTTAATCGCTTTCTACTTTTAGACCCTTTTAATTTCAGCCTACTTCTAGACCGATTTAATCCCAGTCTATTTTTAAAAACTTTTAATCCCTGTCTACTTATTGGCCTTTATGACCCAGCAAACTTCTAGACCCTTGAGACTCCAGTCCTCTTCATTTTTGATGTAAGCAGCAAAAGCTGTAAATAAAAGCTATTGGTTTAGATAAAATTTAATTAATTAGTCAAAATTATATAATTTTTTGCTAAAGTAGTTACATTTTTATTTTTAAAGTAGTTACAATTTTAGTAGTTACAGCAGACATAGTCGAGACCACGCTACGACGTCGTGATGAACTGAAGTTTCCGTTAGGGATATGAAGGACAACCATAAACATATAAATTGGAATAAACGAGGACTATAAACATATAAATAGGGATAACAGTGGACGATAAATCAATAAACAACATGTTTTGTCCGTTCCAGCGGAGATTTTCCAACTCTAACAACGCTCGTGTTCGAACTCCGACATAAAGTATCACCGCTGCATTAATCAGGACTTAAGACGTAAATATAATAGAACAAAGGCATTTATCAAGGCCGATAAGCTCCATCTCGCAAGCGCTACTCCACGACTCAGTAATAAATTCACCGAGCTTGAACGGTCACGAGACTCGCCTGAGGAACAAATACTGAAATTTTCAGTATTAAGGCAGCATCTTTACTTCTCAGAAAACCCAATGAAGCTTTTCATGATCACTGCAGAATTTCTGTGTCCTTTCGTCGTTGCGCCTTTTGTGTGTAGCCACTACGAATAAAATCGCTATATCACTATTTTCATAAAATCACTGTATCACTATTTTATAAAATCACTGTATCACCATTTTTATAAAATAACTATATTACTATTTTAACAAAAACTCTACATCACTATTTTATAAAATCATTGTATCACTATTTTTATAAAATTACTATATCCATATTTTTATAAAATCACTGCATCACTATATTTATAAACCACTAAATCAATATTTTTCTTGCATGAGCCCGCTCAAAACCACGAAACTAACTAAAGTAACATTATCCGGCCCAATTGAAATGAGGCAGGAGGTCATCTATTCTTTCAGAGTGATTGACGTATCGATAATTTTCGCAGTAATATCTTTGACTAATATGTTATAATTTTTTATTGAATGTTTAGACTACACCAGGCTTCTAGATCCTTAGACCGTAGCATTTTTCTAGACCTAAATGACCCTATATCTTAATTTATACTCTTATGACTCCAGCCTATTTTAATACCTCCTTGTAACATCCGCCTCCCACCAGCCCTCTGTTCTGACGGTCTGATAATCTTATAATCCTTATAATCCTCAATACGGTTTCTGCTAAAATTTATGACAGGAAAACGAAACTATAAAATATTAAGAGAAACTTTTTATCTCCTACAGAACCTACGAGAACAAATCATGACCACGAATGTCTGGGTCGACCACGTGAGTAAACCTCGGATGTAACATTCATCGCAATGTTCACCCAGTCAAGTGACGTTGAACAACGTAGATTAAAATGTTTCTACGTCATTAGTGTGGAGTGAAGAATATACTATTCACAAAATCCCAGGAATATCATTCAATAATTAGTTAGATTTTCGATAATTCAGTGTTTTTTTAATTGTGAGATACCGTATGGGCTGTATTGTGTGATACAGTCTAAGCTGTATTGTGAGATACGGTATAGGCTGCATTGTGTGATACAGCTTAAGTTGTATTGTGAGATACGGTATAAGCTGTATTGTATGATACAGCATAAGCTGTATTGTGAGATACGGTATAAGCTGTATTGCATGATACAGCATAAGTTGTATTGTGAGATACGGTATAAGCTGTATTGTATGATACAGCATAAGTTGTATTGTGAGATACGGTATAAGCTGTATTGTATGATACAACATAAGCTGTATTGTATGATACAGCATAAGCTGTATTGTATGATACAGCATAAGCTGTATTGTGTGATACAGCATAAGCTGTATTAAAAGTTTCAGATAGAAAAAAAGTTTCAGCGAGAAATGTAAATTTAATTGAACAATGGAATAATAATTAATTTTCACAGATGAACATATGATGTATTTATCTTCATGTGTTGTGCATCTAAACAGTTGTTGATAGTCTATATATATTTCAAGTGCATCTTTTGTGAATTGAACTATTAGTTATAAATTTTCAATATTTTTGGAGTGCACATTTTGTGCATTAAAAATATCGTCAACAATCCTTGCTGTTGATATTGCTGGGGGACTACCTCTTTCACTCTCTCAAGGTCAGGAAATGATTTCAGTTGAAATAACACACAGTTCACAATATATTCAGTAAAACAGATCCGTACAATTACGTTGTGCCGTACAGTTATCTCCAGCTAAAGTCTAAAACATGAATGAATGAATCCCTAAAGCACGCAAAACCTAAATTGCGGAACTGAAAGTCTAAAGGAAAATGGAAAAATTGTTGCTAAGAAATATGAGTAAATTTATACCATTCCCTAACAATATCTTGATATCTACTTTTTTACATAAAAAATTTATAGTTCACGTTTATTTTCAGCTTATCCCCCATTTAGACCGACAAACAACCATCTTGTCTCGAGCAAACATTCTCGATCTCGTTATAAAACAATTAAGGGAGTAAAAATCCATGTACGTTGCGAAGGCAGGAGGATGAAGAAAATTTATCCACTTAAAACTATAAAATATTAAGAGTAACTTTTTATCTCCTACAGAACCTGCGAGAACAAATCATGACCACGAATGTCTGGGTCGACCACGTGAGTAAACATCTGACGTTAACATTCATCGCAATGTTCACCCAGTCAAGTGACGTTGAACAACGTATGTAGATTAAAATGTTTCGACGTCATTAGTATGGAGTGAAGAATATACTATTCATAAAATCCCAGGAACATCATTCGATAATGAGTTAAATTTTCAATAATTCAGTGTTTTTTAATTGTGAAATACAGTATGGGCTGTATTGTAAGATACAGTATAAGCTGTATTGTGAAATACAGTGTGGGTTGTATTGTAAGGTACATTTAAGGCTGTATTGTGTGACTCTAAAAGTTTCAGCAAGAAATAAAAGTTACAGCGAGAAATAACTTTCATTTCTTGCTGAAACTTTTAGAATCACACAATACGGTCTATACTGTATATTACAATACATACCATTCTGTATTTCACAATGCAGCTTATACTGTATCACACAATACAGCGAGAAAAAAAGTTTCAGCGAGAAATGTAAATTTAATTCAACAATGGAATAATAATTAATTGTTCACAGATGAACATATGATGTATTTATCTTCATGTTTTGTGCATCTAAATAGTTGTTGATAGTCTGTATTTTTCAAGTTCCTCTTTTGTGAAATGAACTACATGTTAAATCTTAGTACTATTAGTAAATTATTAATGTATTTGAAGTGCACATTTTGTGCATTAAAAATGTCGTTAACAATCATGACTGTTGACATATACTTTTTTAAATTGAAAAAGATTTTATAGTTCACGTTTATTTTCAGCTTATCCCCCATTTAGACCGACAAACAACCATCTTGTCTCGAGCAAACATTCTCGATCTCGTTATAAAACAAGGGAGCAAAAATCCATGTACGTTGCGAAGGCAGGAGGATGAAGAAAATTTATCCACTTCGCCGGCTTCAAACAACACTGAGTTTTAATCCAACGTATTCCTACAGAATTGCATTCCTGCCGATAACGTGAATCTCGACCCTAAATTAGAAATATACACTGTTAGAAAAAAAAAGGGAAAAAACTTTCTTACCCGCGTTCTAGTAACCAGCCGCCCCGTGAAAAGAAACCGTTTCACCGTGTTTTTCAGACGTTACACGGGTTTCTACCGTAAAATTGGAATAAAAACGGCAACACGGTGTTCATTTTCACGTGTCGGCCGGTTACTGAAACGCCGGTAATACCGTTTAACGGTGATTATTCTAACAGTGCACTAATATGACAGCAACAACTTTGCAGAGAAATGGTCTGAATTTACGAATTGTAATTTCTAGAGAGAACACAAAAAATTACTTCAAATGTGCTCTATGAACTATAAAAATTATTGCTAAGGAGTCGAACAAGTAAACAAAGGCATGCCGGTAGTTCATACGCTGAACAAAATATCCGAGTTTCTAACCAGCGTCCCGGCTCATCTCACAAAATCCCCGCTTTTAAAAGTTGCCAGTAGGGATAAAAACAACAAATGTCAACTCACTCCGTAAAGTGATAAAAATAAAGCCTCGCCCAACCTCACGAAGAACAGCAAACAAAGATGTACTCGCAAGTAAAACATCTTGGCTCCCCCAATAACAAAGAACAAACGTCCCGACTCTCTTTACAAACCAACATCTTATCAAGGAAAGAAAGGCCTAATTTACCGAACAATTGGGGCGTCACAATTTGTAGCGGTGATTGGCGGAGTGATTGACAGGGACGGGGGCGGAGGGGTGATTGGCTGGGGGTTCGGTGATTGTTCGCGCGGGGTCGGTGGCGTTTAGTTTCCATTTCACTGCTGATTTAGAGAGAGATCCTGGGCCTTATTATCATCAATGTTTTTATCTAGTTTATAATTTACAATTCAAAGTGATTATTGCACTCAATTAATAACATTTTTATTTAGTAGTAATGCCACTTATCACAGAGTGTCTTAAGTTCATTTGTTACATCATCGCAGTCTGCGGGTGGATTTAGGGTTCGGTCCTCCGACCCAGCCGCTCTTTTCCGTCTCTTGGACAATCCGATTTGGGACAGATGAGTGACAGCGACACACGGACATCCTGTGACCCACAAACTTTCCCCTCCCCTTGATTCTTTAGAGCGAAGCTCGATTGGCAATTCGTGCAGGATCGAATAACATTGGCTTCAGCTCCTAGTTGTTCAATCGGCTTCTAAATTCAGGCTGTGACAGCTTTATAAACTTTGCAGCTTCGTGCTCAATTAGCTACCAATATTTTGAAAAAAAAAAGAATTGTTATCAGCATCTTTTTAATCGATTAGCTGTACAACTCCGAGAAGAATAATATTGTTATTTGCAACTTGTTGATTGATTGGATTCACAATACAGGCAGGAATATCGTTTTGCTGTATTATTCATCATCAAAACGGAAAGGAAATATCTGGAACACATGTTGCGTGACCGTCATCGGACAAATGAAACTGGCATTCGAAAGCAGGACGAACGTCAGCGATGTTAATCTTCCATTCCTCATCGGCAAGACTTATTTAAAAGCGACAAAAAGTGATCAAGGAGAAGTATTTAGTTAAATAAAAAAAAACCTTTGGATTTGTATAGATATTAACTCAATATCTATCGTTAATGAAACTTTTGCATTGAGACAATGAGCCATAATCTAACTCATTGCCTCCATGTCATTATGACGTCAGATAATTCCGTATATTTCATTTATAGCCATATATGTTTCATCCCGATTCAATTCTCATGTGAAAATTAATTTATGTTTGCAATCGAATTCAGATTGACTTTCCGTATAGGAGTTGGAAAATTAAGCATTTTATCAAAAGCTTCGAGTCAATCGTTGACTTTAAAAACCCGTACAAAGTCAACGACATTACAACTATGAATTCTAGCAACCAACGAAAAATGAAAAATAATTTGCAAGTCGGTTATTATATACCAATTGATGTATGTAAGGTTCCTACATTGACCAAGATTCTTTTCTAAAACTGGAAAAAAACAGTTATGAATAGTGAAGTGTAGCTTATATAGTCTAAAAGTAAGTTTGAAAATACCCAAAAATCTCTTAACTAATTAATTAATTAACAATTACTTTTCAATTTGCTTATTTATTTTACTTGTCCAATAAACAAATCATTTAAGGGGTTTCCCTTTCACCGCGGGACGTTTTCCTCACTATAGGATATTACCAACTACCACCCCGGTACTCTTCTACTGCCCTAACCCTTTGAATAACATGCCCCCTCTGCTCCCCCCCCTCCTGAATAACAGGTCCCTCCTGCCTCGTCGTTACCCCTGAATAACATGTCCCACCCAACTCCTTCCAGTTGCCGTATTGCGCCTAGTGTGAACGGAGTCCAGAGCTGGCAGCAGTATTCAAGGATAGGTATTTCAAGGGTTCTGAAGAGTGTGATCATCGGTTCCGCTTCTCTCGTTCTGAACGTCCGCCAGATCCACCCCATCTGTTGTCTACCTTTTGTGGTTATTGCCGGTATGTGATCACCGAAATTACTCCAATATATCTCTACTACAACAGACATCTACTTTAACATTTATCTACTCCAACAGACATCTACTTTAACATATATCCACTCCTACAGACATCTACTCCAATATATCTCTACTCCAACAGACACCTACTCTAACATTTATCTACTCCAACAGACATCTACTTCAACATGACGCTGCGCCGCAAGACGCTCTTCTACACCGTCAACCTGATCATCCCATGCGTGGGGCTGGAGATCCTCTCAGTACTCGTGTTCTACCTACCTGCGTACTCTGGGGAGAAGGTGGCACTCTGCATCAGCATCTTGCTCTCCCAGACTATGTTCTTCTTGCTCATATCTGAGATTATTCCCTCCACTTCACTGGCCTTGCCACTGCTGGGCAAATATCTTCTCTTCTCCATGCTGCTCGTGGGACTCAGTGTTTTGGTCACCATCATTGTGCTCAATATTCATTACCGTAACCCGTCCACTCATCGCATGGCGCCGTGGGTGAAAAAGGTGTGTGGTGTGGAAAGATATGCAAATTTTGGTTTGAGAATAGGGTTGATTTTCTGAGTATTTATGATTATGAATTTTCTAGTATAAAGATGGAAAATATAGCATGGTTAAGGTATATTACTCATAGAAAATAAAGAATATTTATTTGAAATGTCCTCAAATTTTCATGAATAATTCATTTCAAAGGTTCAGTAGAAAAATCTCTTAGTTTATATAATATCAAATAGTCACCTTATCATTTATAAAGTTTCACAAAACATGAGCATTATGAATTAGTTTGAATTTTTAGTCATACATAAATTTAACCGAGAAACAAGTAAACAAGTCAAGTCATATTCTCAATGAAAAGGTTCCGGAAGCCACCCCCAACAGAAATACTTGTACAACCAATTCCCATAAAACAATTTACAGAGTTTATATTGAATCCTGAAATGAATGATGGAACAAGTTAGATTAAGAATAGACCTATACGGTTAATAGGCCCAATTTATCTATTATTTTTATTTACCAGACAGATTTATACCCAATCTAGTTCATTCACCAAAGGGACACGAACTAGATTCGTTATTTTAATTAAGTTACTGATTAAAAGTAAACTGAAGTTTGATAACTTGGATGCCAGAAACACTGGCATTGGACGCTAATTGCTTAAAATCATAATCACTCACCGGGATGTTACACAATTCGCTGGCAATATGTAGAGCTGGATGAGGTTGCTGCGAATATTTGGTTCCACTGCGGAAATTCTGGCATTTTTGCTCACACTTTATAGTGAAGAAAATGCGTGATGCCATACCAACGAACATCGATGCGCACTGCGCACAACTGCATTCGTCGACCAAAGACGATAGCATTTTGACAGCAAGAATATCTTTGCGCTTAATGAAAAGTATTTCCAACTATTTTCAAATTCAAATATTTTATGAATAAACTTCCATTTCTTAGGACACACTTTCTCTTCAGATGCCGGAACAAACAACAATGCATGATATCGTTAACACACTGGTAAAAATATCAGTATATCATTAGGGACATGACTTCGCGTAACAGCCAGGCCTGAGGGAAACTCATATAGAGCGAATTAATTGGGCAAAATATTGAAATAAAAAATGCATGTCATGAAAGACGCACAAATTAGAAAATTGCAATTTATACATTTTTAAATCTCTTTCAAGATTCATTCAAGCGTTGAAACGCAATAAACTACTCGAAGATATTGGTGCTAAAATCCGTGAATGAGAAATTTTATTTCCAATAGTGTAAATTGTGAGAGGAGGCCAAGAAAATGCAACTTTTTGCATGAGTATTCAATTTATTATCGTTCACAAATCGTAAAGAAAATGTTTCTTTCCCCTGTTCACATGTTACCAGCTATGGCTTGTAAATACAGCTGCGTGCATAACTCAACGACATTCATAAATGCAACTAACACAACTTTTTAATAGATTGTCAAAGCATGGGGGTAAGAGTTATCGTACTGGGAACCGACTTACGCAACCACCTCAATCGCGCCGAACTAAGGGATTCCCGAGTGACATTTATTTCAGGATTTAGCTTAAATTTCCGGTGTTATCGATTTAATAATTTCTTGATCTTTATCAAGTTTTGAGTAAAACCTAATAAAAATTATAACTTGGGTTTATAATCATTTGAAATTGTTAACAGATAGATTTATTCGTTCACTTTCTTCTCGTTATATCTTGCTTGCCAATTTGAGTTCAGTTTCGATTCAGTATATCTGTCGAAGAATTTATAATGAGTATTTTGTTGAATCTTTGAACAAATGATGGAGCTGGACTTCGAAACGTTTTCATTGGAAACATGTAATGTTTTTTATTGGCACTCTCACTTCCTTGAAGTTTTCAAAAGAAGTAGGACTCTGTCTAAGCATTGAGGTTTATCTTGCCTCAAAGCATTCGTCTTTTGCAGAGCACTAACTAATTAATTTTCAATTATTAAAGTATCGCATCTAATTCGTCTTATACTGCCTACTCATCGATTAATCAAACATATATATATATATATATATATATATAGACATGATTCATATAGTTCATATAATTCACACATTTAACCAATTTATCTCTGAACCATTTGCGCATCTAACCAGTTGAAATCCTCGAATTCGTTTCTATTAAATCAATTTACACAAGTCGCGATAAGCAGAAGCCTTATTCCTGCGTCAGTTGTTCATCTGCAAGATGCCGGCGTTCCTGTTGATGCGCGTGCCGGACCAGCACCTAAATGAGGGCAGCCCTCAGACACAGCAGGAGGACGAGGACGAAGAAGGCGATGAGGGAGACTCACCTCGCCACGACGACGAAGAGCTCGACGAAACAGGAGCTGCATCGCCCCTGCCTCATGAAAACGGTGGTCGTGCAGCTGGCTTTGGCGAACGTCGCGCAGTGCCCTCCTACATCGGTGAGGATATCTTTTGCCATCTTTCTAATCCACGTTCCTCTTTGCCTTTATTTTCTTTTGTCTTCTGTTTATTTCTCGTCACTTTCTCGTCCTGATTTTTCTCTCCCTCTTCTCTCTTCTCCTTCTTCTCAGGTGAAAGGGGCTACAGCTTGGTTTTTAGGTGATGAGGAGCAGGCGGAAAACGAGTGGATGGAATAAGCGATAGTAAAATCACTAGATAGTAGAATCACTAGTAAAAAATGCGGCTGGGAAAAGTGAGAAATTTTTAGGTTTTTAATGATTATTTCAAATGACTTACGTCTTCACCTCTGCACTCTTTCTTCCCCAGACACCCCCTACGAGGGGATGCGTTCACACTCCCTCGAAGACGTGTCCATTGAGGTGCCTGGAATCCCCCCTCCTCCCATCCTTTCCAGGAACTATAAGAATCTTTTGACTCCCCCCGCCACAAACAAAAATGGTCGTCCTCCCAAAGGAGAAGGAAGAATCGGCAGTTATATTGTAGAGAAAAGATATAATGAGGACTCCCGTGGGGGAGGGCGGGGAGAAGACACGATCTCTCAGGGGTCCGCAGGGACGAACAAGGGCGGAAGTCGAAGTGGAGGTTTGAATGGAAACCCCAACAAAATAAACAAGTTTTTCACTAGAGACCAAGATGGCCGTCAGAACCGCCAAAACAACAACAGGAACGCGACGTCGGATCATAGCCGGTCGGCTGCAGATCTTGACCGGCATCACGCAGATCGCGGCCGAAGCGCAGCAGATCGTGACCGACGTAAGAGTTCAACCGATGCAAATAAAAACCCGATGTTTCCACCACGGTTTCCCCCAATGGGAAATAAACGTAACGGGGGGAATGGGTCCGCAAAGAGGATCATTTCCACTGGTAGACTGGTGCTGGATGCCTCGTATGACGAGCTCCCCGAGTGTTTCCACGTGGGACACAATCCCGAGGTGTTTTATCCACCCGAGATCCGAAGGGCAATCCACAACGTCCAGTTCATCCACAGCCACATGGTCCAGCAGGACAAGTTCGACGAGGTCAGGAAAGTTTATGGACGCTCTTCTTGTCCATGTTTTGAATGCAAATGTCTTCTTCATTAATTGTCTTACCAAGTGAAATTAGAGTAGCGGCCTTGGTCATTCATCAATTAGCTATGATGCACAGTAATCGGTATTGATAGACCTATGAGATAAAATTCGCAAATTGAGTCCTAGTAAGTATCGGTGTTAAAATATATAATTTATTAATCTGCACTTATGATTCAGGTGCTGGGATTTTGTTGGAAGTACATTCCAATTGAATGCTGTGTCAATTCGAACACATAAATCTTTCGGTAGTTTGAGTAGAATCTTGAAGTTACGAGAGCAAAACCAAGGCAGGGAAATGTTAGGTATCATTAATTTGTTCTGTATTTTTACGTGTACATCATAAAATAAAATCGGAAACTTAAAAATCATTTAAACGAATGTTGAAATTCCGTTGCCCGGTGTAACTTTCGATCATGTTCACCCACCAAAACCGTAAACCAAAACGGTTTTCTACATTATTTGACATCAATTTCCAGTGACCATGCTAATTCCATTCGCCCTCTTTGACTTACCACATTCCAAAACCAAGATTGATCCAAAACTCTCTGGTTGATGCTACCGCAGAACGACGACGACTGGGCGTTCGTGGCGATGGTTCTAGATCGCTTGCTGTTGTGGGTCTTCTTCCTAACGTCCATCATCGGGACGTTGTTGATCTTCCTGGAGTCTCCTTATCTCTTCGACACCACCCAGCCCATCGACATCCAGATAAGCAAAGTGGCGCGCGCTGTTCTCGGCAACGAGGCGCTCTCGTTGCATATTTGAGGCAGATTTTTCAGCCTAGCATTTTTCTATTGGTAGAACTGCCCCAAAGGAAGTCAATTTATCCTCGTTCTTTGGGTGAATAGGAGGAGAACAAGCGTTCTGAAATGGCCCGTGAAGAAAATGAGGCAAGATTGAAGTTTTATGTATAGCTGATTCTGATATTCAAATGCGACCTCTAGGTTTTTTTATCTATAATTGATATTTTGGAACAACTTGTGCGACTCAAGAGCGATACGTATGACTTAGGAGCGGCTAGTGGAGTCCCGGAGCGTTCAGGTCACTTCAGCAGCTGCTGATGCAGTACAAGAGCGATTAGTGCAATTCAGCTGTGGCTAGTGCAGGTCAGAAGCGATTAGAACAGATCAGGTGCGGCTAGTTCGGTTCAAGAGCGATTAGTGCAGATCAGGTACGGCTAGTCCAGTTCGAAAGCGATTAGTGCAGACCAGGTGCGGCTAGTTCAGTTCAAAAGCGATTAGTGCAGATCAGGTGCGGCTAGTGCAGTTCAAAAGCTATTAGTGCAGATCAGGTGCGGCTAGTGCAGTTCAGAAGCGATTAGAGCAGTTCAGGGGCTACTAGAGCTGGTGTAACCTAAGCTATCCTTCACGTGACGCTTACTGTAGACTAGCAATCAAAGTTTAGCAGTTTCGTATCGTCTGCCGCGAAATGTTATGAGAAGCCTAAACGAACTTACGGCGATATTTATGAAAATTAAAATACCCTAGAACACTAGAGTATTCAGAGTATGAACACTATGGTACCCTGGTTATCTAGAGTACGAACATTATAGTACACCAACACGGGTCGGTACATAATAGTAATAAAGGTATATATGCATTTTATTCCGCAAATTGAGTCTTATTTTACCTAGAGACGGTAACGTAAAGAATTTGATTAAAGTTAAATACATTAATTAATATTGCAATTTTCTATTTATTATCAATTGAGTTAATTCCAGTGCCGAGTGACAATAATTTATATCTACCTGGACTGTGGGCTGATCGGGCAGAGAAGAGTTGTTTTAATGCTATTCCTACCTAGACTGTGGGCTGATCGGGCAGTGAAAAATTGTTTCAATGCTATTCCTATCATTTTTCCTTAAAAATATTCACTGCCAGTGTACTGGGTTCTACAGACACAGTTGTAGTCGGAAAACAGGGTTTCATTTTTTAATTGCGGTCGATCGTGTATTGAAAGGCTACTTATAATTCACCAACGATCTTTACGTGATCAGAAACAATTGTATTTTTGAAGTGTTATTTATAAGGCCAAATAATTCTTGTTGAATTGTGATTTAGATGAGAAATTCTTTGGCAGCCCCGAATGCTAGAAATATACAGCCCAAAAAACGTGTTGAATAAATCATAAAACTACTGATAAACCATAAAATATGAACTATTCATAATCATGAAGCATGAAGGATGAATTTTGAAGGAAATAATTCGAATAGAAATCGTTCATTTTAACACAAATTAGTTTATCAACAATTTATTTGATATTCATCAGGCAACTACAGGCAATTGAAGATTAAACATAATATACTCAAGATATTATAAATTGGAATCAAGTTTTACTTCTCGTTGTGTCGTATTTTTCCGTAAATAAGGCGCGTATCTTTACGATACGTTATAATAAATAAAGTCAATATACGGAGTGCCATGCTACGCTTTCTTAAATGTATATAGTTAATTAATCTAATTAATCTCTAGGTATTTAGAAAATAGTTAAATAGGATTTGGGTCGTGGTATTCTTAATTACCGCCATTGATTACCCAATTACAGCAGTAACGAAAGATGTTATGAAGAGAGGTAATCAGAGAAGGCGTTAGACGCGTTCAGCTGTGACACAGATTACTAGCTCTTCTTTACTGAGCGTTAAGCTTCATAGGTCAATAATCTTTTACTATCATAATTCAATCAGATAAAATCCGTCTTGTATGTTGAAATTTTTACACTATATGGATAAAAATTCATTGGGAGGTTCGCGCATTTCAGGGTTCATGACTGTGACACGTTTTATATTTTACTTTCGGTTCAAAACGTTGGAAGTTGGGCTTTGAGTTTACTACGTTGAAACTGAGGAATCATTTTCTTTTACCTTTAACGTTAAACTGTTTAAAATTTCGAATTTGGCTCATAACTTTGCAGACTATGAAGACATGTTCTTAAAATTCATAACCATAAATCTGATCAGATTATCCGTCGTACGTCCAAGTCATTATTGAAACAACTCTTAATTCTCCCAGTTTTAAAATTTTAAATCAATTTGTAAACTTTTAAGCTTTATAGTTACTAGGAAGTAATCATAGAGTTATGCTGCTGCTAACGTTTGTAATGAATGTAATTTATAATACACGCTCAAGTAGTGGGAAACGAATACGATGATTGTGAAAATAAGGAAGTCCAAAACTAGTAGGAGTAGAAATTTTCTGAAAAATTAAATTCTGTTGTTCACTGAATTGACTTTTTTCACTTTATCATCGTTTAGGAAGAAACATAAAAATAATCAATTCTTGTTTCCTTTCTTCGATTGACTCTTTCTACTTCACTTTTTGCGCTGCGAGTGTTCCCCAACTGCCTTTTGTTAAAAATGTCCGCCATATTCTCTTTTGGTGTCGTTACATATATGTTAAAAAATATGATGAAAGAGTACAAATTCTATTCCTGATCTAACTGGTTTAAAATAGCTCGTGGCTCAAAACTGCCATTTTCACGTGTTAATCTATTCAGTCAATTGATGTAGGTTGAAATGGTCCCAAATTGAATTTAAACATTGAATTAGTAAATGAAGCTTTTTTGACACTATTTGATTCGGCTTTTCACCATACACGTTTGGTTTACCTAGCACTTTTATAGATTCGCCAACTAGGTAACTTTAAAGATATGATTTCATGTAGAGAGCCAGCTTCTCAAATCGCAAATTTCACTCCAGTGCACGCGCATTAAAATATAAGCAATCACTATTTTTAAAAAGCTTGTAATATGCTGGCCGTCGTGAAACGAAAATAGTTAATAGAGCTAGTCAATGGCGAGATTTTACCCGAAAAAATTCAGAGCCATCGCAGCTTCGGATGCCTGCAACCAGAAGCTGGGGCGGCCTTAAATTCTGCGTCGCGGCAGCTTCTAATTGCTCGCAACAGAAGCTGAATGTCTTAATTCTTTAGTGTTGTTATGGTGCCATTCTGCGTCCGCTGAGCTACGAGCAGAGCTGCAGTGCAATGGGGCAATACAACGCATACAGAATGTTGATATACTGCTAGGGGTTATATTTAAGGAGCCTTTTGACAATTGCAAGAGCGTTGTGACAATAGCTCGGTATTATATGAGCGTGGTATACAAGACTTCCTGGTATTATGAGTGTCGTGACGATAGCCTCGTTTGTATGAGCCTTTTGTCAGTAGCTCATAATAATTGTACGAACGTAGTGGCGTTTGTTCTTTGTGTCAAAACTTGTTATTGTAATATCGCTCCAACAATAGCTCGTTATTGACAAAGCAAAAGTGGCAAAAAGATAAGATGGTAATAGCATTGTTATTGTATCATTTTACTTTAGCTACAATGAGACAACAGCTCGATATTGTAGCAACATTGGTAATGTAGCTTCTTGTTGTTACTGCATTGCTACCATAGATCGATACCGTTAAATAATTATGTGTGGGTCGCATATTGTTATCGCTGCAATGTTACCATAGGCCTTTATTGTATAACCATCTTGATAATGCTTCTGATCGTTACAGCATTTGTAAAATGGTTACGTGTGGTAACGGCAATGTTTGATTATTTTGTTAGTGTTTTGTTTTTGAGCAGCATTGTGACAGTGAACTTGTTATTGTACAGTACGTTGGTGCTTACTGACTGGACGCTTGTGAAGCAATTATAGACTAGTTCATTGTAGACTAGTTTTTACAATATTAACTATTAAGTGTTTCATCTCAGTTATTTATCGTCAGTGGTGTTATCTGTTAAGGCTGTCAGTTGATCTCCTGTGCAAACGCCAGTATTATTACCCTTATATTGCTAATATAACTCTACGTTTAAAATATAATTGATCTGTTCAGTTTGAATTTAGATACGAATAGAATTAAGATCAGGAGTTCAACTTGGTCCACATGCATAGTGAGGGAAAAACTGTAGAATAGATATTTTATTGCAGACTAATTCTCAACGTTCGTAATTTTATATTGCTCAAGTAGAGAAATAACGTTTAAAATTTAAATTTACTTTCTTGTTTCATGAACGAAAAATTTCTGAAAGTTACATGTCTATTACTTATAATATTTTAAATTTCTTAGTAAATTCAGTTAACTATAGAACTAGAGTTGCTCATGTCTAGACAAGGTCTTGACTACGCGATTTAATCATCCTCATTCATAATACAAAACACCAAGAACACGCAAAGCAACTATTGAATGCAATTAATCGAATCCGCAGTAAATTCCAACCGAAATAATTTTCGGATATTCGCCGCAACTCATGAATATGCAGAAATTTGGCACATGTTGGGACTAAAATTAATCACCAGAGACTTGGCATGAGCTCGGAGGCATTAAAGTCATGTAGGTCCAATATACTTAATAATCACTCACATTGGTGATTATTGCATAATAACGACTCATTGCCTAATCACTCAGTATTGTCCAATAACGACTAACATTGGTCATTATTGCTTAATATCCACTATAACATTGGTCATTATTGCCTAATAACGACTAACATTGGTCATTATTGCCTAATAACGACTATCATTGATCATTATTGCCTAATAACGACTAACATTGATCATTATTGCCTAATAACGACTAACATTGGTCATTATTGCCTAATAACGACTAACATTGGTCATTATTGCCTAATATCGACTAACATTGATCATTATTGTCTAAAAACGACTAACATTGGTCATTATTGCCTAATAACGACTAACATTGGTCATTATTGCCTAATAACGACTAACATTGGTCATTATTGCCTAATACTGACTTGCGTAGGTTATAATTGGCTAATAATTGCATACTTTTGTCCTACTTACTCAACAATGAATCTCATAGGTAATTATTACCTGATAATGATGTACGTATGTCATAACTGCCCATCACTTTAAATGCTTCAAGCAACGCTTGGTGGCGCATTTAAATTAATGTAAATATATTAACTTTTTACTCCTTTAAACAAAATTTCAAACCTTAAGTCTAATGGGTAGCAGCAATCTACTTTAATGTGGATCGTTCAGATAAAAATAGCGGCAAATTCCGGAAAATATCGCAATATTTCAAGTTCCCTTCCCATGTTGGGAAAGGCAATCATGGTAAGCTGCGGTAATCCCATTAAGGTAAGCATGTGGCTTACTTACAATTACATAAGTAATCGCAACGAGTTACTCAAAAATTTATGTAACTGAAATTGGTCGGTATATATGAGCCGCTAAAACTTTGACGAATTTACCTACTTTTTATAATTTTGTCGCAGCGATTGCAGTCACAATGCTTTTTTCGCTAAGAAGTTTTCATTTTTAATTCCTGAATTATTCTACAGCAATCAAAATTAACTTTAAGATTGTGTCTAATGATGGAAACAACAACAATGTCATCACAAACACTTGTCGGCTGATGCAACCCTACACTTTACTCGTATCGTTGCCGCGTAATTTAATTACTGAAAAATGTGTCCCCGGTTAAGTTTGGTTAGAAATCGTAATATTATCGTAAGCTTAATATCGAAATCGTCATCCGTGAACAGAATTTTATTAACTAACCAACAAACCTACCAAAACCAGTAATTTAACCCAAATAATTTGAATGAAAAATAAGGTGACCGAATCCGTTTAGGAAACGTTACCGAATTTTTGAAGAGCTAGTACATTCAATCGAAAAATATTATACCATTATGATAATAATATACCTAAGCTTGCATTATTCGTCCT